AATCTCACAAAGGCAGTGCACTGAAGAGCTGTTTTTGGAGGGTAGTGCATAGCACACACAAGACAGCATATAAGGAAGCACTTGAAGGGATGAAGGCAGTGGCTAAGGAGGCTTATGATGATTTCATGGGCATGGAAAATTTCAGGTTCTGTAAAGCCTTTATCCTTGAGAATCCAAAATGTGATATGATACTTAATAATGTATGTGAAACTTTCAACAGTACCATAGTGAAGGCAAGAAAAAAACCAATTGTTGAAATGCTTGAGAGTATTAGAACTTATGTAATGGAAAGGCAACATCACAAACTAATGTTGACTAGTGGACTGAATGATACAATATATCCTAGGATAAGGAAAAAAAATGAGGAAAATAAGTTGAGTAGTAGGTTGTGTGTGACAAAACCTGCAGTGGGTGAAAAATTTCAAGTTGCCATATCAGATGATCAGTTTGTGGTTGATTTGAAGTGCATGACATGTAGTTGTAGAAGCTGTGATATATTTGGTATACCATGTATCCATGCTTGTTCTGCAATTCAGTACATGAAGAGGGATGTAGTGGACTTTGTCAGCCCATACTTCAGTGCAGAAACAAATTTGAAAGCATACTCTTTTAGTCTTGAACCATTAAATGGGCCTAAAATGTGGCCTGAAGCATCTGGGTCCACTGTGAAGCCACCTCTATTTAAAAAGATGCCTGGTAGACCTAAAATAAAAAGGAGAAAAGCTCCTGAAGAAGAGGCCAAGAGTGACACTAAGCTGAGGAGATTTGGACTGCAAATGACTTGCCAAAAATACAAGAAAATTGGGCATAACATCATGACTTGCCCCAATGAAGCTGCTCCTGCACAGACAAGAGTAAGTTTAACTGTTTTTGCTTATTTATAAACTTTTATAATGCATTATGTTCATATCCTTGTTGTTAAATTGTAGAAAAAGAGGGGGAGACCAAGTACAAGGGAGCAACATGTGGAGTCTTCTGCAAAAGATTGGACTGTCACACCAACACCAGCAGTCCCAACACCAACAATCCCAACACCAACAAACTCAACATCAACCAACCCACCACCAGTCCCAACAATAGCCCCAATAGAAGCCCTAAGAGCACCACCAACACAAGCCCCAACAGTACCACAAACACAAGCCCCAACAGCACCACCAACACAAGCCCCAACAGCACCACCAACACCAGCCCCATCCACAAAAG